GATGCCCGAACGGTGGCTGGAGGGCGACACGATTCGAATGTGAGAACAATCGTGTTCGTTTCAATAGTAGTCTCCCCCCGCCGAAGAGTAATCCGGCAGGCTTCGACCACTCCCTCACAGTGCTCCACAATTTCTTCCATGGAGCAGCCTTTCAGCTCATGGCTGCGGACGACGCCCTTTGAGCGGTTAAATTTCTGGTAGCGCTCGGACCTACATGGAATACCGCCGAAGGTCGTGGTATCCAGGAGTTTGGTCACTTCGTCTTCAGTTGCGCACTTGACGAGAAATACACCAGAGGACAGCTTCTGGACATTCGTAGGAATGTATCCCAGAACCTGTCGTAGTGCATCTCCCGTCTTGAACAGCTTCAGATCAGTGATCTTCTTCTGTGCGTCTTCTCTGCAGCTGATGGCCAAGTACGGCTGCTTCGGAAGCTCCCTGGGAGAAGGGAGGAAAGAAGCAACGGTAAAGGCCCTTTTTCCTGATTTTGAATTTTTGCTCGGCTCGGCGGCCGCACCCGCTTCCGCTTTTTCTTGGTAAACAATCGAGATGACACAGGCTTGTGTATTTGAACGAATCGGTCTTTTTTTTTTTTTACACAGCTCATAATATGCAGGCATTTCAGGCACTGCTTGTGACTCCTCTTTATACATTACTTGCTCAGTGCCTTTAATTATCTACATGTACTCAAAACCTCGTGTTTGCTATAACGAACACTCGGATTCAACGAGATTTTAGGTCAGGCCCAACGACCTCGTTGAATCCGAGTTCCACTGTATTCCTGGATGGCGCGTTCTTGGCATGGGCCGTGCCACCCTCCCGTCTAAGAGGAAAACCTGGGCCAAAGAGGTGTGTTGGCGAGGGACAGTCCGTGGACTGATCTCACCTCAACCGCCAGGTACCCGGTTTCCCTCCGCATGGGTCGCACCTCACGGTCAACGAGGCGTCCACTCTGTGGGATGGGTGACCTCTCTTTTTTACTGCACTTGAGGTCAGCGGTGGGAGAAAAGATAGAAGAAGAAAGAAAGAAGGAAGGAGAAGAGGAAGATACACCAAAGTGAGTGTCGCACACGGATCCCAGAGGATTGGGTTCCGTGTGCAACACTTCGCCTTTGAGGGGGTTGCACCTTCTGCAGACGAAGCAGTGGGTCTATTTATATATATATATAGTAAGTAGCTATCACTGGCAGTCAAGTGATTCTGAGTGAGAACATAGACTTTATGCTGCTTATCGGCTTATCACGATGCAAAACTGCGAGAGCAAGCTCTTAGAAAAGGAGGTGGGGAACTCGATCGCAAAGGAGCTAGAAAAGGAAGAGGCACATTCAACAACTCTGGGTAGCTACAGAAGGGGGAAGGAAACGTGGATGAATGCCGCCGCCCTTGCATCAGATGTTTATGATGGGTTTGAAAGAGGCGAGGAGACTCTGGTAGCAGTGCTTGATCTCTAGGATGCTTACAATAGGGTTGAGTACGATGTCCTTTTGAGAACAATGATCATCCTGACGATTTGCCCCCAGCTCGTGATATGGGTAGGACAGGTGAGGTATTGCTGAAGAGGAGAGTTGCAAAGCGGCTGAGAAACTGGACATCTAACACCAGCAGCATCACACCGGGGTTGCTGCAGGGATCATCACTCTCACCAGTATTGTTCAACATAAACACAGTTGGAATCATTTCTGGACAACTGGAAGGCCCAAGGAAAGTGCTGAGCTTTGTGGATGATTTCCTTGTATACAGACAGGGTAAGGACCGGCAAGAAACAGCTAACGCGGTGCAACAGGAGCTGGATCGAATTGGGCAACGGTGTGTAGACCACAACGGCAAACTCCACCCCGACAAGGCATGTGCGTTGTGGTGCTCGCTGAATAATCACGCAGTGAAAACAGAAATGCCCACGGTCACCATCAACGACAGGATCCTGAAGCGTGAGCACTCACTCGGGTATCTAGGTATCACCTTTGACAGATCACTCTCAGGTAAAGATCATATAACCAGGATCATCACAAGAGCCAGAAACGGCCTGCCTGCACTGAAAACCATGGCGTGTAGCAGAATGCCACAGAGAATTTTAGCCATACTAATACTATACCAGACTCTTGTGCTGTCTGTGATAGACTATGGCCTCGGTCCCCTCACCTTTTCAACGTCGCAGCTGAAATACCTTTAAAGAATTCAGAACGAAGGTATGCGGACTGTTCTCGGATGCACACGAGACACGTCATGTGAGGTTATGCGTTATCTCCTGGACCTTTCAGCCATGGTAGAACGACACACGATTGCTCAGGTGAAAGCGTATTTGAGAGTCAGCGCCTATGATCAGCACCCACTGCATGACCAAGTGGGAAGAACGGTACGCATACGTCTGTTTAGAGGGACTGAATGGATGGGTGAGGCAGAGACGACTTTGGCTAAATGCTGTGAAGTGCAAGACATCCGAAGGGGCAACGCATGGGTCAGCAGTATACTCGAGTGGTAGCAACCTTAGGCACAGAATGTCGTTAGTGGCCAGAGGGAGCAGCTAATGCCGAGGTAGAGACGCTGGATAGAGGAGAACAGAGAACAGGGCGAGTAGCCATCTTCACAGATGGATAAGTATACCGTGAAGTCAAATCTGGATGGGCTTTCAGCGCTCGTATTAACGGGGTCATAAAGAGAGAGCTGTTAGGCACCACTAGTATAACCACGTCCAGCATGTGCATGAAGATGAAAGCCATCACAGAAGCCTTTAACAGGATTAAGACGACAGAGTATCAGTCTGCTATCCTCGTCACCGACTCGATGAGCACCCACGAAAAAGTGAAGAAACACATGATATATGCAGACTGGCGAGAGGCAATACAAAGCAGCAGACTCACAAGGATTGTAAGGATCTTTAGCCCTGGTCATGCAGGAGTTCAAGGCAATGAACGTGCTGATAAGATAGCCAGACAGGCTGAAATTGGCGGCACCATGCAATTAGATCCATGCAACAGTCATGGCAGCATTGACAGCATGGTTCACCGACCACAGAGAGGATGAACGCACCACATTACACACAATGGAAAGGCTAAGGGAAGCTGGTGTCTCTAGAGGGTCGGGAAGAGACCAGAGGAATATCCAACCAGCTGATAACTGGCACGTATACCTCCCAGATGAAAAACACTTCTCAGAACTTCTACCAGTAACAGTGAAAAAAGTAAAGCTGAGGAGAGACTGTAAAGTGTGCAGAGATAGAGCTTCCCTAGACCTAAAGAAACAAAAAATCCAAAAAACGAGTAGAGACATGGTGGTGGTGTCTGAAGAGTCAGAGAGCCCTCTGCATTGATGGAAGGTCCTGTTTTCAAGACTTTCACACTAAATTAAATTATTTCCTCTAATCGGTCATTGTTTGAGTATTGCCTTGTATGATCAGTACATTGACATTGTACTTTATATTTTACACTTACCTTGCTATTATTATAATACAAAAACTCAAATAATCCACGAAAAGGGAAACAAATGCTGAGCCTTTTTTGTTGATCATTTGTTTATTTTTGTCCATTTTTCAAATTATTATACAAACAAAATTATTGAAAAACCTGTTTTCACTACAGAAAAATATAACATAAAAATGATGAGCAGTGAAAATTTTTCAAGTCTACCATGAGAAAAGACTGTGGTGTAGCGGTTAGGCCCTTCATTGTCGCACGCAGGGGACCCAAGTTTGGAGAAATTTTTATTGAATAAATTACCATGAAAAGTAATGCAACAATGAAGGATGAATGTATGTTTTAAAACACATTGGAAATTGAAATGCTGGCATCTTGGGTGAAATTGGGATTTCAACCACAGGCAGTCATTAAAACTCATGTTACACTTACACCATCAACCAAGTTATATCATCACCAGTTCCATGCTCCTCACAAGGTTGGCAGTACACCTTTAATGAAGTTTGACTGTATACAATATCATCTAACATGCAAATAGTCAAATAGGCTTACTTTATCTGACTTGATCCTTCCTCCAGTATCTCTAAGGCATCGAGGGAAGCAAAATTGGCAGGCGGTGGAAATCTTCCCCTTATGTACAAATTTCGCTATGTATGTGTTTTAAATGCCAAGAATACACTGTACATGTTGTATAAAAATGTGGGACCTGAAAACCTGTTTGCTATGTACGTGGGTTTTTTTACGCCCTCAAGGACACAATTAGATCATACAGGAGGCAGGCTACCGACCTTGCCTGTCAGGGCCAACCCAGGCTGAGAGGGATACAACATTCTAGCAGAAAGACCGGGATACTCAATAAAAAATTTTCTCCTCACCAGGGGATCGAACTCAGGTCTTCTTCATAGTAGTAAATGCCTTAGCCTTAAGGGGAGACGTACACTCTCGGAAAAATTTTCTAAACGAATGACTTTTACTCAATTTCATGTAATTGTGCAAGAAGTTCATAGGTAAATAGGATGTACTAGGGGTGACTTTGTTCAATTTTTCTGAAAAATGGGTCTCTGTGGTGGCCATCTTGGATTTTCAAACCAGTTTCTTAGTGCAGACGAATTTCATAGTAAATATTTAATTATCAGCCTGAAATTTGGCACACAAGTACAAACCTATATGAACTGGGGATCTATGAAAGGATTTTGACCTATCTTTAAAACTAAAAAAGTGAGCCCAAAGTCATTGGACCCCCTAGAGTCAGTTGACGAAATATTGGGGTACATATTACAAAAAAATTGAATATTTCCTCAAGTTACCAATATTTCCCAATTCCCTTTCATAGATCCACAGAATCGATCTTAAAGCACCTGTACACCAAATTTGAAGCTTCTAGCTTCTATAGTTTTTGAAAACTCCTTGCACCCAGGAGGTCACATATGTCAAAAAGTAGATTTTGAGAAGAACAGAAAAAACTGATTTTTTAAAGGATTTTTAGAGCAATTTGCACTTTTCAAACGCCCTTTTAGGTCATTTAGGGTGTTTTTTCAACAGTTTCTTCATTTTGACTTTATAGAACAGATGTCAAAGGATGTTTTTCCGCAAAAAACAAAAGTTGGATAGTTTGAAAAATTGTATCGATATTGCCTTAGATCGCCGACCCGGGTCTTCCCTTAAGTTAACATGGCAAGGGAAGCTAAAAAACTGCAAAGCTTTATACTGTGCCAACACCTCAGCCACACTCAACCATTTTATAGTGATTTACAGCTGGTGAAAATAGACATTATGTTCTCACTTTTAAACATGCAAAAGAACTAACAGTGGAGTCCGCTTCAACCAAACACTGTTAATCCAAACACAGCAACAAACCAAAAGAAAGTAAAATCCCTGATTTTTTCTTCTATTTCAGCAACTTCTCTAAACTGAATACCTGGCTAAACTGTAGAAAATCCAGCGGTCCCACAGATTTTGGTTAAGGTGGACTCCACTGTATTTCATACACTGAAACATTAACAAAACGGTATAGTAAAATGATAAACTATTTAAGCTGGACGGAATAATGAAGAAATAATATTTTGTAACATCTAATGTGTATATAACAACAAGTGTAGCACCAGGAAGAATTTGAAAGATTGCAGCAAAAGTATGCTTTGCTACTTTGATAAAATTACCCCCAGAAGAGGCAACTGGCTTGCTCAGTAATGTTTAATGTCTATCAGTAACATTTTATTGCACAATAATTAAGTCTTTAGTCAGATCTGTCTTGAGTAAGGAACTTGGACTTGTCACTAAGGGCTCGGGGATCTTTGAGAAGCTGAAAATAAAACACAAAAGAGACAAAACAGATAAAAATAAAAACTAATGGATTTCATTCAAATGTTAATTCAGTTAATTAGGTAGCCAAGCCAAAGTGCGGTGGACCTTAAAACTATAGTAAAGACCTTCGAAATGGGAAAAATTGTTAAGTAACTACAAACCTAACCATGTGGGCTTTGCAAGCAAAGAAAAAGAACATTCGTGAGGAAATGGAATATTGGGTGGAGGGTACAGATGAACTTGCATTGTAATGGGTGAGAATAAGCAGTTTCCAACTATCCAACCACAGTTTTGTACAGTTACTTAACAGTTCAGACTCAGAGGGTAGTGAAACAGGGGCATTCTTGATGAAAAATCTGGTCAAATGTAACAGTGAGGCTGATGGGAAGAGGAAAGGAGGAAGAAAAACCCATGTTATATCATAAGTATCAAGGTGGCTGTTGACCAAGTCGACACAAAACATCTTCCACAGACTTACAGTCAAAATCATGATACAGCCATCCCTTCTCATTAGTAATCACTTGATTAAAAATGAGCACTGGAGCCAATTTCCATTACTATAGTAAAGTACAGTGGAAACCATATTTTACAGGCCCGGTAATAACAGGGATCCGGTAATAACAGGGATTTTTAAAATCCCCGTTTTTTCCTTCTCTTTGTCTCTATTAAAAGTTATCGGCAATAACAGGGCCTCATCGGAGCCCAACTGGTTATAGCAGGGACAAAGGCTCATTAAAAGTAAGAGAGAGAGAGAGAGAGAGAGAGAGAGAGAGAGAGAGAGAGAGAGAGAGAGAGAGAGAGAGAGAGAGAAGAGAGAGAGAGAGAGAGAGAGAGAGAGAGAGAGAGAGAGAGAGAGAGAGAGAGAGAGAGAGCGAGAGAGAGCAAGCCCACGCAAGCCATGCCACTGCAAGCACACGCGGTGTGTGAAGCGAGAGAGGGCCGCAGTGTGCTGCAGACCTCGATCTAGCCCGAAACCTAGCAACACGCACATGCAATGTGTCTCCTGTCATCAACGATGTCAAGAGCAAGAGAAAATGCCTTTCAATTGACAAAACATACGAAATAATCCAGGCTGTTGACAAAAAGCAAGCTCCACTGGCAGAGATTTGTCGTCAGTTCGACATTCCACAAGGGTCGGTTCACACCATTATCAAGGATAGAGAGAAGATAGTGCCAGCATACTCCAATGGAAAGTTTTCTCTGGATCGAAAGAAGATGAGACTGCCCGATGCAGATGCTGTGGACCAAGCTCTTCTGGTGTGGTTTAAGGAGGCAAGGAGAAAGTTTGTGCCAAACCCTCTGTTCGTGGGTACTTGTGTCAAGGGAAACTACCCATGAATAAGTACAGCTGGATTAGTCCACAAATGCTTACTTTCCTTGCATTTCTGATTTAACAGGGATCGGATAGAACAGGACATTTTCTCTACTCCCACCATCCCTGTTATATCAGGTTTCCACTGTATATACAATTTTTTGTTTTACATTCGATCATGTTTTACATTGTCTTCAATACTGTGTGTAGTAGTACAATGGTGTTAACGTCCATCGAAGATAAGACTAATAGACAGTATTAGACATTCAGAGAGCTTTGAAAACTCTCAGCAAAAAAGAATCCCACAGTATTCTATTATATTTCAATTACAGACTTCTGGATTACGAGACAATTGCCTCAGTCAGCCATGACACCAAACTTATTTCTTCTTCATAACAGTCATTACAAACTGCTTTAAAAAGCGAGAGATTATCTCGTACAACATACACAAGCCCTTCAATTCTCAAACTCTTGATAAATCAACACAATCATCAGGGGTGGTAAGGGAAGAGATTTTAAAACAAAACTAGTGGCATAAATATAAGATGTGTGTGTGTGTGTGTGTGTGTGTGTGTGTGTGTGTGTGTGTGTGTGTGTGTGTGTGTGTGTGTGTGTGTGTGTGTGTAGGTCAGTGTGTGCACTCTGAACCAGTTCAGGATTCTGTCAATCATTTGCTTTGCCTGCACTTGAATGGCCTCACAAGATGAGAGGGAAAGGTACCAACAGTCTTGTTATGCGTGCCCCATCATAAGCACAAGGCCAAAAAATTATATTTTTTGCATGAGCTGATTTTAACTTTGCAAGATAATGATCTTAACACTGAGCGCAAATAGTAAAAAGAACGATGAACCTTTCTTTTCCACAACAGGCAGTTCAGTCCTGAGCACCATCTATACTTTAGGTTAGGCTTTGGCAAGCGCTACATGTTCGTCATGACATCAGGGAAAAAAAATTTCTCTTTTGAAAAGAAAATTCTGTTCTTGAAAGTAGAAAATGGGAACATAAAAAAAGCTGATGCCTCAAGTACTTTGACACTCATTGGATGTACATCTTCCTAGCATTTTAAAACTAAAATACTTTTAATGTTTGTCATATCTACTTTTCAACAAAATCCCATATTCAGTAAAATGGAAGATTGAACCTGATGAATTCTGTAGATGAAATGTTCACTGTACTCATAAGCCTTTTCCACCTTCCACTACTTATGTGATAGTTGGGGGGGGGGGGAGGGTTAACAAATGCATCCACTGCACAGTAACTGGAGAAGCAATCTCTTTGTGTTAACCTCCACATACAGAAGTGTGTGATTTTAATGCATTTTTTTTATATTAGCTCAAACCTTTTTTCTCTTTCATTCTTTTCTCTAACCCTTTTGGATAGATCTAGTACCCCACCTTCAAAATAACATAATTTGAGTCTCGACTGCATGTGTTAAAATTAGTAAAACTGCAAATACATACTGTCGACATAAGACAGCACCTAAGTTACCAGGGTACTTACGTTTGGTAGCTATCAGGGTGCTACCGTGACTGCTGGAGAGAGAGTTGACAGTGAAAGGCTCGTCTTTGGGCAGTGCCACCACTTTAGGCAAATGACTGTCTTCATCAGGGCGACCCAAGCGTCCACGAGAAGATTTGCCCCAAGTGAACACTTCATTATCTGAACACCAATGGAAAGCATCAATGTTAACGTCTGAAGCAAGCAAATGAATTCTCAGTTTATGGAATTCTTACAAACATTTTCCAGAAAATGAAAGGGTAGGCCTACTTCAATTAGAAGAAAAAAAAGTGTGCCTGTAACAATAGAAAATTGTCCAGCTAGTTGTAATTTTGTTATTTTTCCATTCAGCTGAGGAGGTAGAATATATATGAGATCAACTTGCATCACCACAGATGTCAAGCTTTTATCTGTAAAAACACAGGCAACTGTGTTGAAAGTAAAGTAAAGGCTTGGCTCTTCACCATTGCACACAAGTAATGAGTTTGATTCCTAAGTGGAGAAACTTGATTCAGACTGATCTTTCTACTGTGATGTTGTGTCCCACTTAACCGGAAATGGCTCTAACAGGCACTCAGGATCACAGTTGCCTGCCCCCTAATTAACTTAAATTTTGTTGATATTGGCATATAAATCAATCACAAATTATGATCAAAATGATAGTAATGACAGCTACATCAATAACATAGACAGCATCCCTCAGATAAATTAACTGACAGCCAGTCCCCCTCATCCGCACTTGATATACACATTGTGATGACGTTAACAAAAATGCTAGCAATGAGTGCAAACCAAGACGGGCTAATACTCTCTGGACGGCCATTGGAAAAGAAAGTGGGAAAAAATTACAAAGAAAAATTCAGTTATATAATCAGAGAAAAAGGCTCTTCTAAGAGCAAAAAGGTGTAAAGCCAAATTACTAATTTTAGTTAATTGTAAATGTCTTATGTCTCCATCAGTACAATTTCATTTGGATTGTTTGGGGGTAGGCTAGTCCTGCCTTGCATGTCTTACTGTCTTATCATACAGGTGGCTGTAAGAGCAGGTTCAGTTGTATATCGGACAAATTACCAGTAGACACAGCCACAGTGAAGATATCCCCACAAGAAAGCATGGCAATGGAGTGGTGTTTTATTGACGCCACCAATACAGGCCTTCGGTTGCCAGGGTCACAATCACAGCCCAGCTGACCGAACTGATTGGATCCAAATGTGTAACACTCTCCGTCCTCTGTGAAAACAACAGAAAAATCAGATCAGTTTCAAATATAATATAATTCTTCCATCTATCTAGACAAGATTTCTATGAAATAACACAAACATGTACACACAAAAAACACATTGCAACAAAGAAGGAATTAATGAGGCTGAGACTAAAAATACAGTTGGACCTGTCCATAACTCAAGATCACAGAGAAAAGTGACCTTTATAGACAGGTGGCCACTATGGACAGGGTCGGAAATATGGTCACTTACTACACATGATCTGGGTGAAGTACGGTGTGACTTTATGTCACTGAGGCATTATGCTAGTCGTGAAGGCCAACATGGATCACCCTGAAACATTGCTGGCTAAAGGGGCTCTGGTGAAACCGTGACTGGCCTAGCAAGCCAATGGCAAATAAATCTTGCAATGAGAAAAAAGGAGAATACATGGACTGATCCAAACGGAAAAGGAAGAAAAAAAAATACACATGAAAATCAATTCCCATGTGGTATGTTTAAATCACCAACAACCTATGGGCTAAAGCAAAATATTTCCTCTAAATTTTTTCATTTAATTTCATTTCCATCAAAATTCACGAGAGATTAAAAAATTCTTAGTTAAAAAAAGGAATTCTGCCAATAGACTCAAACAGCCCCGGTATTGTGGTCATTCAAAAAACAAAAAAAATGTCTTTCTAAACTCCAAAATCTCTAACAGGGGCAGCCAATGGCCACTGAAAGAGTCTAAAGTGTGTTATTACTTGCTGTCACACAAGGTGTGGGCAGTGGCAGTGTACACAGTTCTTTGGCCTCTGGAATGTCGTTGAATCAGTGCCTCAATAAGTCCTGCCCCCTCTTTTTTAATTTATAGTGCCCAGCCAGGCGATATGGCCTGCTGGTTCTTTGATGTACCCACTGAGTCAGTTTGAGAACGGGTTGGCAGAAAACTTTACAAGCAAATGACCACAACAGACTTGCAAACTTTGTAAAAACCCAGTCTGGGACATTTAACATAAGTGTATTCATTGAAACAAACGAATTTAGCCAATAAGCACTGGAAAAGACGTTAAAAATTTGGCAAATAAATGTCCTCTCAGATTCCTGAATCTGGGACAGTTTCACAAATTTAGGAAAGAAGGCAAGCCTGTCGCTATGAGCAGATTTTGAGGCCAACTTTTCGCAAAAATGACTCACAGTGGCCACATTGGACAGAGACCGTTATGGACAGGTTAAAGATATTATAAAAAAATGCAAGGGTACTACAGAACAGTGGCTATTAGTACAAGTGACTGCAATGGGGAAGTGATTGCTACTGCAGGTTCGATTGTATACCAAGCATGATCCCAGAGCAAAGCCAGGAATACAGGACCAAAGAAACGAAAACAAACCAGTGATGAGAGCTGAGTGTGAGGTTCCCTGTGCCACCATTTTAACGGCCAGACTGTTGAGTGGTGCAGACTGGACTGGGGTGAAAGTCAAGACCTCTTCCACCATCTGTTCAGTGTAACCGTCAGCTGTTATGGTATCTAGTGCAAGTTTGTTGTACCTGGAGGTTGAAAAGAAAGAATCGCACTTTTCACTCTAGTCAAAGTGATTGCAAAAGAACACTCTGCTTTCACAAGAATTTCACTTACACTTATTCCCTCCTCTGATTAGTCAGAATTAGTGAATTGTTGTCATAGAACACAAACTATTTGATGCTTGTGGTACTTCTAGTACAAATTACGAGGCAGAGGCCATCGCCACTGAAGCAGCAATCCTCCACCTGACCAACTTTTTATTATATATTCAAACAAAATCAAGAAAACTGTCACAGATGGAAAATCAGTACTCCAAGCTTTGGAAAACATGAATTTCGAAAGCCCAGCCTGCCTATCTGTGGCTCAAACAAGCAAAACCCTCATACAAACCTATGCTGTTGACCTGACTTTACGGTGGATACCTGGCCACAGCAACATTCCAGGAAACGACAGAGCAGACACCCTTGCCAAGAAGGGAGCATCACAAACAGAACCTCAAAACCCAGTATCACAACAGACAGTCAAGAACATCATCAAATGCGACACCAGGGAACAGTGGCTGAGTGGCTGGGCATTGGGCAAAACTGGAAGAACTGTATTTGCACATATGGCTTCTGCCAACTCAAAAGATGCACTAAATTCCCTGAGTAAAAGAGAACAAGTCACAATCTTTTGTCTGCGAACACAACACATCCCACTGAATTCCTACCTAAATAGGATCCGCAAGGATACCCCAAAAAACCTCAGTCTTCAGGGCGAATACAGGCCTTCGGTTGCCAGGGTCACAATCGCCGTTTTATTTCCATACCCTCAAAATGATTTGTGGGGTCACAAATTGATAACGTCTCAATGGTTTCATAAATAACCCCTTTGTGTCTTCCTGTACCGTATTCATTCCTAAGCCCTTTAATTGTGTCTTCTAGTACAGTTTTCATTCCTAAGCCCTTTAATTGTGTCTCTCTGTGCAGTTAAGCCTTTTAATTGTGTCTCTCTGTACAGTTTTCACTCCTAAGCCCTTCAATTGAGTCTACTTACATAGTTTTCATAACCAACCCCTTTGTGTTTTCTTGTATGGTATTCATACCCAAGTTCTCCCCTTCAGTATGATTCTCATAAGCCCTTGCAGCCTACCTGTTACTCCCTGAGCAAAGCAGGGAGTTTTCTAAAGTAAGGATGACAGAACAGTCCATGCCGCAGTGGACAGAGCATGGGTGCACGTTTTGTCCCACGGGTACTGGCTTCGGTGAGGCCGTAGACTCGTAGCTGCCCAAACCCAGTCGGCCTGGAGAAACAGTGAGGAAAACAAAGGGAAATTTAGATGAGATTAATTGTTTTTTGTTTGGGAACCCCCTTTTTTTTGTAGATGTTTTACACCCTCATCAACACAATTTAGATTATTTAGGAGGTGACTATTTTGAACCTGCCTGTAGGGGCCATCTTGGACTGAGAAGGATTCAATGTCCTTGCAGAAAGACCGAGATACTCGATGAAATTCTGCCCCCTACAAGAATCTGACTCAAGTTTCTGCGTGCAATGGCCAAGAGCATTATTGTTACACTACTGATGCCTTTGAAATAAATATATATTCATTCTCTTCTGCAACAGCCCACCCCAATAACAATTACTTTATTCAAAATACAGGGAATGAAACAGTGCTGATTTTTTCTTTCAGCATTATTGGCAAACCTGTGTTGCTTACAAAATGTATGTAATTCCAAGAACTAATATTTCTTCAAAGAGCACAGCTGTAGTACACATTATGCTTCTTTATTCCACAAATATCATGGCTATTTTAACTTTACTTTGCAGCCACCATTCCTTGTACAGATCTCGTACGAGTAAACTTTGACAACAAAATACAAGATTACGTAGACTTTCTTATAGTAATTCTAGAATTATGAAATCCATGTACACTCTAAAAACAGTTTTAAAAGAACTCACTTACACTTCTCGTTGATATTCTCATAAAAAAAAGGAAGAAAAAGGGTTATTTGTACTTAATTAACATCTAATTTAAATAATGAAATGCAGGCTTGAATTAGGTGTTCAGGAGGGCAAGCAAAAATTGCCTCAGTGGGGCCTAAAAATGAGAGGGCACCGAGCAATTTGCATGGGCACCAAGGCAAAAATTATAGAATAGGTGATCAATTTTTAAATTAAAGTTGGTAATACTGGATCGTCACAACGTTTATATAAATAACAATACAATTTACTCTTGCTCTCTGCAAAAGTATAGAGTTCATTAGAAAATTTTTAATCATGAATGAAAACTAAGTAAAACACGATAAAATCACTTAAAACAAAAGCTGTAATCACAGTAATAAATCAAATAATGATGACAATGCATCTTGACTTTAATGCCTTTATGACTAGCTCTTATTGGTTGGATTAATATGAATAATGAATATACAGTTCTTGGCCTTTCCAAAAATCATCCATTCAGCGTTCTTCATTCATAGATCTAGGTCGTATGATTGGTCAAAATTTTCTCCTTTCCTCTGGGCCCTCTAAATAAGCTAAAGTATTTTTACACGAAACTCATTCATACTTTGTTAGTACCGGTAGCCCTATAATGAAATGGTGATTTATTTGAGTTCATATACTGGCATAAAGAAGTACATTGTACAGTATACAGTATCAGTATCTTACCATTAAGTGAAGAATGCATTTAACTTTTTGCATTTTTTGCTGCTTTCACTCAACTCCTTCAACATTTGTTCTCGTTTTGGCATGGTGTAGATCTTGGTCAAATTAATAGAACACTAGCTTCGTGATCAAAACGCACAAGAAAAACTTTGAGACGTTCTTGGCCGTTTCCAAAAATCATCCATTCAGCATTCTTCATTCATAGATCTAGGTCGTATGATTGGTCAAAATTTTCCCCTTTCCTCTGGGCCCTCTAAATAAGCTAAAGTATTTTTACACGAACATTTGTAATTTTTAGCCCCCCCCCCATAATTACAGTAGAACCATATTATTCAAATCAAATTAGCCTAACAAATATTACAAACGCATTTTTGCACCCTTTGTCTGCCTGCTTCCATCCCCTTTGCACGTCGGCGACTGTCGGCATCGATGGATAAAAATGTGTGCGTAGGAATACAGATTCCAGTACAGTAGAACATGGTAGAGCGGGACTTTTAGTTCCAGAAGAAAAATCCCGCTGTAGGCAAGTTTTCGCTATAGGAATGCAAAGGGGAATTACCGAAAAATCACACACTACTCTTTCCTTATCTCTGTCTTTTTGGCCTAGCTTATGCTTAAGGCTAGCCTATGTCACATCACTTTTGGAGTGGCTCTTGTAACGTGTCTTTCTCTCTCTGCCGCCTACTCCACCTCACTCATCACTGGACTGGCCAATCACAACGCTGCACCCCTGACTGCATGTTTGGAGCCCACCTATAGCCCTCCACCCCCTTCCACCTGCTAGAGCTCGCTCGATCTCTCCCGCTGTATCCAAATTCGGGCCTTTCCTTGCCTCGTTTAACCCAAGCACAGATAATTGAGTTTACATAGACAAAAGAAGGGGATTCTGGAATGGTCCCGCTGCAGCAGGTGCCGCCATAGTCTTGTTCTACTGGATGTGTAGCACCACCCGTTCACCACTTCGTGAGCCTTTGCTCACTGCCGGCCTAGCCTTCGTACGAACGATCGGTCAAAGGTCTGAGCTGGCGAGGAGGGCATGAGACGAAATTGTACCTCCACTCCTCCGCCCCACCTCCTCAAAGACCACATTATTATGTAGGCCTAACTGTACTGACTTAACTGATTCAATTGTTGCCACCGCCTTTGATTGTCACTATTCATATTTTTATTGTTTGTTTTTTAAAAACAAAAAACAAGGGCACCGCAAAATTGCTGCGGTTGACCCTTTGATTTTAAGGGCCTTACGGCAAATTGTCGCGGTCTATTTTAAGCTCTGAAAATGCCTTGACAGCTTTACATGCTTGAGCGCCTTCTATTCCAGGACGCTTTAGCGCTCATTGCATCAAAGTGGAGCCTCAGCTAATTTTCACAAGTGGGGATGCTCACATAGATAAACATAACAAGCTTCTGGTCAACAAAAGAACAATATAAATAGTCAACAAGTAGATTCAACATTTTTTGACAAGTACCTAGGCCTATATAAACCAAAACCAATTGCAAAAAAGAAAGAGATAATTCTATGCACACTTTCTATACTTTTAAGTAGAATTAGACATTATTATCACACGTTCTTACTGTGATACAAGAATTGATTATAATTATAGAACAAATAAGAAAGCAAGGAACTTATTAAATAGAAAGAAAGGAGGCAGTGGCATCAAAATAAGGGTCTAAAATGTAGTTTACCATTGTCTCCTCTTCCCCAAGCGAAGACCTCATGTTCATTCGTCACTGCCAAAACGTGAGATGCTCCACAAGATACTTGAGTCACTTCATAACCTAACAAAGCTTCAACAATTTTTGCCTGTCAGAAAGAAACGGGAATATATAAGTGTCATTTTATAAGCTTCTTATCCACCCCCCACCCCAATTATTTTACAGCTACAGTGTCCCTCAGTCATAATTGGAAAAGAGAAATATAAGCAATTTAACTCTTTACTTTTTCGTTAGTCAGGTCCATTTGAAATGTCAGTCTACATACAAGGCAATGGCTTGGCAAATAAAAGACAAAAATCATAATGTATACATCTTAAAATAACATAACATAACATGAATTATGTTTTTATTGATCTGGTCAACACCTAACAAAGTACTGTGTAAGTTAAACTGAAGACACAAATTAATGTTATCTGTTTTCAGTTAAACTGTTTTGGTATATACAGTGGAAACCTGATATAACAGGGATGGTGGGAGTAGAGAAAAAGTCCTGTTATATCCGATCCCTGTTAAATCAAATATGCAAGCAAAGTAAGCATTTGTTGACTAATCCAGCCGTACTTATTCATGGGTAGTTTCCCTAACCACAAATACCCACAAACAGGGGTTTTGGAACCAACTTTCTCCTTGCCTCCTAAAACCACATCAGAAGAGCTTGGTCCACAGCATCTGCATTGGGTAGTGTCATCTTCTTTCGATCCAGAGCAAACTTTCCATTGGAGTATGCTGCTACTATCTTCTCTCTATCCTTGATAATGGTGTGAATCGACTTTGTGGAATGTGGAACTGACGACAAATCTCTGCCAGTAGAGCTTGCTTTTTGTCAACAGCCTGGATTATTTCGTATATTTTGTCAATTGAGAGGCATTTTCTCTTGCGTTTGACATTGTTGGTGGCTATAATTACAGAAGTATGCTTAGATCTATGCCGACCGTTCGTCCACAGAGTGCGTTAAGCTTAGATCTACACATGTACTGCTGTTAGTAAACAGTCGCAGTGCGGTGTGGAGAATGCGCGTGTGCTTTGACCTGCGAAACAAGCTCTATGCAAGGCCAAATCCTGCGCATGACACATTACGCGTGCGTGTTGCTAGGTTTCGGGCTAGATCGAGGTCTGCAGGACACAGCAGCCCTCTCTGTCTTCACACACTGCGTGTGCTTGCAGTGGCATGGCTGTGTGGGCTTGCTCCATCACAACGTTACTCTCTCTCTCTTACTTTTTACCCATTGTTTACCAGTCTTTGTCCCTGCTATAACCTGGCCCCACGGAAAATTGCATTTTTGAAACAGAAAAATTGCAAAAAATTGCAAGGTAAACTGCCTAAAAATTGCAAACTTCCCATCCCAGGCGCATTAATACGGGCTTAACATTTTTAGTTTAAAAACATGACAATTTTGAGTACCGGTAGCATAAAAGCAGCTCAGCCTTTTAAAAAATCATGACAAACAATACAAATTCATCAAATGTTATTAACAACATTTACTAGTAACAACACACGAGTACGTTAACAATAAAGTTATCGACCAAATATAATATGATAACGCGTGACACAAAATAACGGAACCCTCGGTTTTCGTAATAACTTTTATATGAAGGCGTAAAATTTGACCAAATTTAGTACATACCGGGTACTTGGTTCGTGCAAAAATCTAGAAGTGTAGGAGGTTTAGTTTATAAAAAACAAAAAAAATTGACGAGAGATTTTCGAAACAACCTCTACATACAAAATAAGCTTATGCTCCAATCAAATCAGATCCTGTTCTATTTTTCTCTTGAAACCTTCGATACACCGGTAATCTGTATTTAGATCTATTTCAGATATTTTCTGTTTTAAAACCGGCATTGTATTGTTTTAACACTAAGTCAAATCGTAAAATACAGCAAATTTTTTCCCATTTATAAACAATAGTAATACATGTACTAATGTAGATCTAGATCATTTCTATAGCACCCACTTCCGTGTGAACACAGCTTAAGGCGTTTTACATAACGGGGTGTTTACTTGCACGGTACACGGACACCTAGCCTCAGTGTCTACGTACATGGTAACCGGCAACCGGGCACGTAGCCTCAGTGTCACGTACACGGTAACCGGGCAGTTAAGAATTCCAAGTTCAGTTTTTGTCATCTGGTGTTGCCTTCAACTCCAGCCCTCCCCTGACTGTACATGAAAAAAAAAAAATCAATTATTCTCCCGTTCCAGAGCCCTATACTTCGTAGCGCACAGACTTTGAATGAACTTTGGTGACCCCAACCGGTACTCACAATGTGGTGCGAGAGCACTGGTTCACTGACCGGTAACGATGGCGAGCTCGACAAGACGCGTGCATAACTTTCTTTTCTAAATTTCAACAAGTGACAGCACAGGACAAATTGGTTAATATTCATTCAGGTGGGTTACCGTGTACGTAGATACTGAGACTAGGTGCCCGGGTACAGTGTATGTAGACACATGTATCATGTACGAACAATATTCACACGCGTGCACTCACACGCACACACACTCACGTACACCTCACATACGCACACATCTACTTTCTTATCACACGCGAATGCTTACACACATTAGATAAAAGTCTAGCCCAGAGAAGGCCACCTTCTCGGCCTAGCCTATGTCTCAGTTCGTGTTGTACATGATGCATTTCAGTCTGAATTTCCGGTTAAAGCTTTTAGAGTACGCTCAGTAGGCTTGAGCTGGGCCAATACCATGATTTACTTAGGCCTATCGGCTCTGTGCTCGCACCATTTCGTATTAAAATTTCTGTTAAAATTAAAGAGTTGATGTATTTTTGCCTAAACTTGCAAGAAATTGCGAAAATTGCAAAAAATTGCAGGTTTATTGCGGAACTCGACGAAAAACCCGGCCGCAAGACCGCTTTTAAATATACATACAAAGAAAAAGATGCCACAGACTTCACTCAAAAGGTCAAAAGAGAAAACAAAGCCAAGATCACAATATTCACCTGAGTAACATCACTACAGTTGCCATGACCAAGACATCCGTTGACCCCACTGCCAAAAGTCATCAAGATGCCACGATCTAGAAAGACAAAACAGTTGAAATTACTTTAATGGCCACCTGTATAAGAAAATCACCTGCACAAATGGCCACTTCCCATTTCCTCTCATGTTTCTCAAAAAAAAATTATGACACTGTAAGATATCCACCTGTCTAAGAAAACCAGTCTTCCCTTGACATTGGGTGTCTGTATTAGACAATTTCGATGGTATCATTAGGCATTGGCATTCTAGCAAGAACAAAGTCTATTTATGCAAAAAATTGATATAAAAGCTCAGACATCAAGTTCCTACTCAGTGGGACAACATAGCGATTTCAAAAACCTGCATGAACCACTTGCATTAACAACAACAACAAAAAAAAGCAATATAAAGGTGAATAGCTAACCTGTAAGGCAAGCAGTGAAAAGGTCTCCACATGCCACGTGCTGTATGGTCACAGCTGCTTGACCCTCCAGGTAGCGAGGCACAAACATAGGAGCGACCCCCTCAGTGGCCCCTGGGATGAGGCTCTCTGTTCCAACAGCCTGAGACTAAAGATTTTATAGATAATGAAATAAAACATCTTCTTTATTGTGTTTTCATCTCATTTTCAGTTCCATCAGAATCTTTGATCATGTTCTTACTCACAGCACAACCTCAGTTCACTTACAAGAACAACTGCTGCTTCACTTTGAAAAATGAGAGTAAGCCATGTTGAATAAATAAGGACTAGATCTAGACCTATATGTGAGGATCGGGGTGAAATCAGGCGCTCCTCAAAATAACGACAGTACAGCCAATAAAGAGGACTCTCCTGAGTCTCACTGCTTTATATCTTTTCCTGCCCCCCCCCCCCCACCCCTTAAAAATAAAACTTAAAGTGTTCTCACAAATGAATGGGCCAGAAATCAGGCAAGTAAAGAGCACACACACATTGATGCAGAATGGTGCAATACTCCATGAAGTACCTTCCCAATGTCCTCTTCTCTCTCTGATTCTGCACCCATTTCTCTCTCCTACACTTCTGCCACAATTTGTCAAACCTCGCTTTGACTAGTGGAAGAAATATAAGACATAAATGCCAGTGCATCACCTACACCTTCAAGTTCAAGTATCATGCGAACATGTCAGACATAAAGCCATAACTCAGCTCCCATTTCCCTCAAGCAAGTGTGGGTGGTTGGCGGGTGTTCTGGTGTGGTTAGCAATTTGCTTCTTTTCTATCAAAACATGATATATTGTCCATATCTCTCCTCCTTTTTTTGTATGTAATTCTCCAGTAACCCCTCTAATCTTCAGCATATATATTTATATATATATATATTTTTATAATATATATATATATATATATATATATATATATATATATATATATACAGAGCTGGTAGTAACGGAGTACAAGTACTCCGGTACTTGTACTTACGTTACTATTTTCGGTACTTTTACTGTACTCCGGTACATTTTTTAAACCAGTACTTTTACTGTACCCCGATACTTTTTATAAAAGTACTTTTGAGTACTTTTTAAGTACATTTTGAGTACTTTGGTAGCTTAATGAAAGGGTAAGTGCAGGCATTTCTGATTATAATTTACGGAACAAAAACCCGATCAACCGCCAAGAGTTAAAAGTTGAGATCAAAGAACGGCCCGTCGCCTCAAAGATCAGAAACTATCGTGAATGTGATCACAAGCGTTGTAAAACTCCTTGAAACGGTACAGTGTTTGCTCCAGACGGGATCACACCTCGGTGTGAACTGACCGATGCGTTTCTTTTCCCCAAACATCGCACTCGCATCTGACCTCACCACCTAAACTTACATCACTCCCTGGGTGGGTAGGGCCTACAAGTTCGCTCCAGGCGGGATCACATCAAACTGTGAACTCTTCCCTGACCATTGAAAGCAGTTTTTCCCGAATTCGCGAGACAACCTGAATTTTAATTAGTGTGGTCACATCGTAATGGTGCGTAACGACAAAGGAGGTTTGGGGGACTCAATCAGAGATGGAAAGCTAAAATTGTTGGACAGGTAAAGGGGAGGGGCAACTGGATAAACGTAGATAAAGATCTCAAGACTCACGATAGGCTAATGAGTGTGTATAATATAATATTATTTATGGCATGCCTCATGCCACTGTGACTGGTAATCAAGGTTGACCACTCTTTGCTTGCCATATATGTCAAAAATCCACCCAGGGGTCACGTCAGTTCATGGGTCACTGTAGATTCTTCCTTGGCTTCATTGGCTAAGATCCCATATTTTCCTTGCTTCCGAGCACTGGGATCTTAGGCGGAGACTACTGTAGTAGACAATCTTTGGTTACACTACACTTACTAGACTCTAGGAAACTATTGTATTTTGGTTTGCCGTTGGCGCCGTGGACTACACAGTGTGACCAAAATCTGTCAGACCACTGTAATCAATTGAAACTGAAACTGTGTTCTCAATGTGTATCTAACAATTTTTAGGCTGCCTAAATTTCTTTTAAACTTTTTTTGGGTGGTTTTTGCTTAAGGCTACATTGATTCCTTGAGGATTTGTTAATGAAGAATTCAATGCACTTTTCCATTTCTATGTGGGCCATTTTCATCAATTTTATGTTTTCTTAAGAGCAACTTTGTATCTACATTTTTCAATTTGGATACTCTTTCTGTAGAACTTTCCAACCTGTAGGACTGACTTAGATTTGATCACATTGTCTTGCTCAAACAAGTTCTATTCATAATATCACTTACCCACTAGTTGCGTCTGTTCGTTTGGGTTGTTTTTTGTTCAACTTCACGGACCATTTCCACCGTTCAGTGCGTACATTGTATATTCAAATGCTTTGTATACTGTTTACATTTTTAGTAATAAATAGCGTAATTTGTCAAATATACTGGATAAGTTATAAAATATGATGTTTTGCATAAGCGCTGAAGTGTTTTAGCATATTAGCAGAAAGTACTCAAAATGTACTCATAAGTACTTTTTTAAAGTACATTTTATAGGAAAGTACTTTTACTGTACTTAAGTACATTTTTTAGATTGTACTTAAATTTGTACTTAAGTACTTTTTTAAAAGTACTTTAACAGCTCTGTATATATATATAAATATAAAATATATACTTCATGATTAGAATCTACAACGCGGAAACAAAATCAAATGCCAATAATCTCTCTTTATTCTCAAGTCCATTTTTCTTATTCAACTTGTGGGCTGTTCTCATGACTTTTTACATCAACTGCTCAAAATGTGAACACAATACGGTAGTTCCATTGACTTTGTGTTGGGCAATGTAAAGTCTAATCTTACCTCCCACACAAAGAGACGACCATTTTTGGTGACTGCTGCTCTCTGTGTTCTCCCTATAGACACTTGGACCACTTGAGTCTCGTTGTTTGGGAGAGGAAGCTTAGATGGGCTGAGAATACCTCCTCCCCAACAGAACACTGAACTGAGGGGCTGGGGTTTAGAGGATATCCCATCTGAGGAGGAATTGTCATTAAAATCATTTAAAAAAACATGCAATATTTAGGTAAAATGTAAAGCATTATGACTGACAATTAAAATCTGACCACACTTCAATGCATTACGGTATATATTAGACGACGAAGCTGCAGAACCTGTTAACATAAGTTGGTGGTTCTTATTTAAAGCACAGGCTATATCATGGAAGTGTAGATAGACAGAGAGAAAGCGGAAAAGGAAAATGTAATGGTATTATACTTCTCCACAAACATAAAATCTTACCTCTTGCTGTTGTGTTTCCTCTAAGAGACATTCTTTGCCTTCCTGTGCCTTGCATACTTGACAACGGCCGGTTGATTCTGTAGTTATTAGTAAGCAAGTTATTCTGTAGTTATGAGCACACATGTTCCACCCTAAATGTGTTTGAAAAAAACTTTTTCTTTTGTTAGAACACAAAGGGTACAAAAGTGTTAAATAAAAAATCAAAATCTCTGAAAAATCACAATGAAAATTGATGCAAGGCGACACTGATGGATGAGGGAAGCCTACTTTGTATCTTTCGATGAAATTAACATGAACAGTAGAACAATTTTACAAGACTGAGAAGACATATTCATATATATTCTCAACAGCAATTCAATAATGACAATGATCTTTTAAGAAATCATGCCATATGCTATGAAACAATTAAAATTGATAAAACTGATTTGCCAATCATTCTATAAACGCATGAAAGACGAAATCGAATAATGTCTCATTCTTTAAAACAAAGTTGCCCATAGGTGCAATCAAAATGGTACATATTTTATCATTGAGGACAATTTGTAAGCTGGTCAGAGGATAGATTTCCAAAACTATGTTGACAATTTCAAGGATCTTGCTGTAATAGCTTGTCAATTATTTAAACTGAATTGCATTAAAATAGACAGAACCACTAAATCTTAAGTATGAAGCTACACAAGAAAAGGGACTCTACAGTAGGTAAAGAGAGATACATTCTCTTGTTATACATTATGAATTATAAAAAAACATATTGGGTTTTTTTTACCTTACAGATGGTACCTTGCCCATATCAGTGTGCAAGTTCATTATGGTGTTGATGAGAATAGGTTGAGCCATGATTTGATTGATGGTTGGTCTCTTTGTTGGGTCTAAGTGTAGCATTCTACGGATCAGATCTTGTAGTTGGGGGCTATAATGGGAGGAGATGGGTGAGAAGGTCCCTCTCATGATTTTTAATATAAGCGCTGGCAGATTCTGAAAATAAAGGTCAGTTTTATGAATGTTTTGCTGCTTGCAACAACCTCAATAAATATAGGTGTACACTTTGTAGCAACAGTCAAACAAGAAAACAAGTCTAAAGAGAAAGAAAGAAAGCGAGGCATAACTCGGATGAGGTCAAGTATCAAAGTAAGAATGAGTGCAGTCAAAAGAGAAGAGTGACAATCACATTTGAAACATTGATAAGATTCACTGTAATTTACTGTAATTCATTACAATTGGACACAGAGCAGAAGAGGTAGCTGTGACCTATTTTCATGAACAAAAGCAAACTTTATATAAATATTTCCTTAGTTTTTAAGTTTAAACTATAACAGAAAAAAGTAGAAGGAAAGACTTGAAAAGAGATTGTAAATGTATTATGTCCCCACTGACACTATTAAGGTCATTCAGCGATGGGCTGCTTTGACTTGATCTGACAGGGCTAACCTCAACTGAGTGGGATACAACATTCCAGCTGACAGACATACTCATTTTTTAAAATTTCCCAACTCGGGAATTGAATTGATGTCATCTGTGTGTAACAGCAAAGAGCCTGATCGTTAAATCACAAACATTGCTAGGAAAGACCTGTGAAGGCAGAGCTGATGCCAGTTTCCATATTCTCTTCTAAGACTGGCTGCTAGTTTATCATTGGTTCTTCTGCTCCAATGACCAATGGGGGAAAAAATCCGTAACCCTATCCGAACGTCGTGTTTTACTATCATATCCATACAATGTGGGGAACTCTGTGCCACCACTTTCAAAGATGAAATGTACTCGTTAATCCGATCCATACGTTTTGCATACAAGTCTGTCAAAATGATTTTTTGAGAAATACTGAAAGAGATCTTTGTACTACAAATACTCTAAAATGGGAAGAATACAACCCTGGGGGTACAAATGACCCCAGGTCGTATGGATAGGGTTAACAGTCCTTTTTAGAAAATAATAGACTGTACTGACAGAAATTAAAAAGTTGAAGCAACCCCCCCCCCCCCCCCCCGAGAGAAAACAATTTTTCTTTCCAATACTAAAATTTCAAACAATTATTCATCAGTTTTATAATCCCTCATAAGAATTTAAGAACAACAGTGCTTATGATCCAATCAAAGATATTATTTTTAGGCATACCCTCCATAAATCTGTTTTATACTTACTGCAGCTTCAAATGCTCTTTTTAATGTTGCAAGCTCATACAAAACACAACCAAGGGCCCAAATATCACTCTTTTGGTTATATCTTGATGTAGTTAAGGTTGAATGCATTCATAGACTAGATTTCAAAGGTGCGAAGTATCTCTAAAGCAATAGTAAAGACAAAACAAAAGTGAGCCCCTGACAACCAAAGCACTTTAGACAGTTGAACCTGTCCATAAAAGCCACTCAACATCACAGAGAAAAATGACCATTATAACAAGATAACTGCTATGGACAGGGCCTGAGTTAAGGTAAATTACTACCTTATTAAAAAAAAGTTACGGTGTGACTTTATGTCCCAGAGGCATTACGCTAGCCGTGAAGGCCGACCCGGGTCACCCTGAAGCGTTGCTGGCTATAAAGGGGCTCTGGTGAAACCGTGACTGGCCTAGCAAGCCGATGGCGGATAAATCATGCAATGAAAAGAACAAAGGAGAAAACACGGACTGATTCAAACGGAAAAGGACCAGGAAAAGTAAATGAGCCGTGAGCTAGAACAACGATTAAAATAGGCACAAAGAAAGTCAACGGCTACGGACTTGAAGTTGAAGAAAAAGAACCAGAAATAGTGAATTTCATAGAAAGAAAGAAAAAAGCAATCATGGGCTTGTCAGATATAAGGAAGAGAGGCAACCACAGCAAGCTGACCCATGAAAGCTACCTCCTGATCTGGAGCGAAACACCTGAAAAAGAGAGACCCAAACATGGTGTACCTTTCATTATTCACCCAGACAAAATGGATACAATCTATGAAATCAATCAGATCTCAGAGAAAATAGTGAGCATAAAACTCATAGAGCGTGGCAAAACAACAACGTACATCCAGACATATGCTCTTTGTAACGACAGCTATACAGAGGAAGATAGACAGTCATATTTCCAAGACCTGAGTGACCACATTAACACTACCACCAAGAACACAGAAGATATATTTATCTTGGGAGATTTAAAAGGCAGAGTTGGACAAAAAAAGAACCCCCTGGGAAGAGTACTTGGGACCTCATAGTGATAAATATACAGACTGCAACAGCAATGGAGAAATGGTACTAAACCTATGCGCTGAGCATGATATGATGATTACGAACACATTTTTCCAACACACACGAAGCCAAATCAAGACCTGGCACAGATAGAATGACCTGAACCATGCATCACAAATTGATTTCATCCCGATGGGCAGAAAGCAAAGACATACAGCCAAAGATTTGAGAGTTGTTCCAGACTACATCATCACGGACCACAGACCTGAGATACTCACTCTCACAACCAGCAATGTAAAGCTAATAAAAAAGAAAAGGGGAAAAACCATGACCAACCTAAAAAAATTGGAAGAACCAGACATCAAAAAGGCAGTTTAGTTTTAGTAAGAGTTTTAGGGCACTTGCAGCAACACAATAAGGTCATAAAAGTGCCGAAGAATAGATAATGTGTTACAAGAGAGTAACATACACAAAAAAGAAGGAGGGGAGATAAGGACAACAGATGTTTGATAGGAAAGAAGGAGCAAACCACACCAGAGCATCCGCCAACCACCCACATCAAGAAGGCAATCGAAGATGACATAACCAAGGAGTACACTAAGCTGTCACCTGAGACCAAAGACGTAGAAGACGAATGGCAAACATTTAAAAAATCCCTGTCAGAAATACTGAAAAACAGTTGTGGCACCAAAAGAATAGGCGGAAGCAAAGGCAGACCAGCATGTTGGTGGAATGACGAAACCAAAGAAGCAATTAAAATGAAAAAGAAGATATTTAAGAAACGGCAGAAGTCAAAGACCAAAGAGGACTATATAGAATACAGGAAAGCGAGAAGAGAGACCAAAAGAATCATCAAAACTGCTAAAGAAAATGCATGGAAAATATATGGCGAGAAACTGACCAAAATCTGCAAGGAAAACACTAGAGAGTTTTATAAAAGTGAGAACAGCATGCGAGTAAGGAAAGACCATACAACCCGACATGCATTATAAATGATAAAGAGGGTAAAGCCATTCTCAGCAAGCATGCCATTAAGAAAAGATGGGAAAATTACTTCTAAGAACTACTCAACCCAGGCGCTTGCCGTGGACAACAAGAGGAGTTCCAACCATCATATGGAGAACATACACAACCACCAATACTTCTCAGTGAAATCGAAAAGGCACTCAAAACCAGACCCAAGAACAAAGCCCCAGAACCAGATGACATCACAGTGGAAGAAATAAGAGCTTGAGGAAACACCGGCACACTGTGGCTGAGGCGAATTTTCAGTTGAGTCTGGGAGCAAAGGAAATACCCAGAAGACTGGCAGAAAGCCATAGTGGTCCCAAGGCAACAAACGGGACTGCACAATGTACAGGCATCTCTTTATTAAGTCATGTAGGGAAAATATACGCAAAGATACTAGAAAAGCGGAAAAGACCTATTGCAGAGAGAAATCTGAGCAAAGCTCAGTTCGGATTCCGAAAGGGAAGAGGATGCACAAATGCTTTTTATACGAATTAAGACATATGCGAAAAAACAATCAAACAACAAAGAATCCAACTTTGTCTTTATAGACCTGGAGAAGGCTTTTGACAGAGTAAACAATGCAAAACTCTGGAAGACACTTGAAAAGTATGGTGTCAGAGGACAAATGTTAGATAATGTCAGAGCTCTATACACCACAAGAAAAAACTCAGTAAGAACGAAGGAAGGCAATACAGACTGGTTCAAAATAAGATCTGGAGTACGACAGGAAAGCGTTCTATCTCCCCTCCAGTTTATAATATATATCGACACAATAACACAAGATGCAAACCAAAGCATGAAAGCCTAAATGAACTTCTATTCGCAGGCGATCAATGTTTTATTCACCCAAACCAACAAAGCCTCCAAAATCACACTACTGAACTGAACAACAGCTGTGAAAAATTTCAAATGAAAATAAGCACATCAAAAACAGAAGTTATGAAAGTGAGCCGAAACCGTAGTCCCCTGAACATCTATTGACAGGAGTCTAAATATCTTGGCAATACTTTTTCTGAAAATGGGTCCAGACAGAGAATTAGAAAAGCGAACCCAAAAAGCCAACGTTGTCACCTACCAGCTCGCATCACTCCTGATTTATCTCATCCAAACATCTCCAAGGACACAAAGAGACAGCTTATCACCTCAATATTCATACCAACATTATGCTACCAGTGCGAGACCAGGACATTAAGTAAAATCCAATAAAGCAAAATCACTGCATGCGAAATGAAATGTCTCAGCAAAACCCTTAACATCAGAAGACAAGACAGGCAGAGAAATGAGCATTGAGTACTGCCTGCATTCCATAGAAAGACAGAGAATAAAACGGTTTGGTCACCTGTCATGTATGTCACCTGGCCAGCCAGCCTCGAGAGCCTACAACACCAAGCGCTCAGGCTATGAAGGAAGAGGAAGACCATGCAAAAGGTGGATCGAGGGTATCAAAGAAACCCTGAGAAATCATAATATCACAACTGAAAGAGCTGCAGAGCTGGCCTACCATAAAAAACTGCATCTCCCTTTGACGTTTAACGGCAACAGAGGATGAAAAAGTAGAAGTGAAAAAAAAAAGAAATACTGACAGTTGACTCAAACCGCCCCTGGTGCAGCGGTCGCTCACAAAACAAAACACACAAGAGAAAACACATGCAGACAAGCCTAATAACTAACTTGGCTGCGTTGGACAGGGACCACTACAGATAGGTTCAAAATATAGGAAATGTACAAGGGCAGGGTGTCACAGAACAGTGGTCGTTAGCACAGGTAACCTTTATGGAGAGGTGACCGCTAAAGCAGGTTTGACAGTAGGCCTATTTTTTTTTTCTTCCAGAGTTTACTACATGTTATTTCGAAGCAGTGTACAAGACCCACAAACTCACAAGCCCAACCATCCAAATTCATGGATTCATACAAACTTCTTTCTTCCTTTATTTCTTTCAACTCAGACCTTAAAAAACAAATAATTTCATCTATAGAAAACAATAAAACAGGCATTTGTTTGAAAACTAGCAAAAGTTTTATCTATGTACCCAGTTCTGAAAAGCATTGCTACCTTTTTTTAAAAACATTTTTGGTGAGCATTCACCTTTTCTGGAAACTAATCATATTTATAGACAGACAACAGTTTCTAGGAGACAAAAGAGGTTATACCTTTTATATCAATATAATAAACCTTACTTTAATTTTATATGAGTCTCGTCCTCTTATATGCCAAAACATTATTTATCTTCAGTGAGTTTTTGTGAACACAAACACTGATTTTTAAAATCTGTAATGCCTTGATAGGTTCTCATTTCTAATTAAAAAAAAATATGCAATGCCTTAATTGAAATGAAAAAAAAAACTCCGCACAGCTGCTCTACATTTCATGTTGTTCTTGCACTGAGTGGTCTATTGATCATATTTTCTTCCATTTCTAAATAAATCTAAATTTGAAGAGTTCAATAGATGAAATTCCCTCAGATGTTTGAGAATAAGCATAGAATCTGTGCAATTCAATTGCATTTGTGGTAAAGGATACGGTTTGCCCTCACAAAGCTCGGGTGAAATGTAGCAAGGTGTTCCAACAACCTAGAGTAAAAAGAAACATAAAATGAGTCTTTGAACAACAGGAAGAATAATAATTCATCATGCACGATCATTTGATCGAACCTGTGATCCTTATTTGAACAAAATGACTCCTTTCACTCCTCAACTGCATAATAGAAAAAAAGCCACTGAAACTATCATCTTCAACAATATGGCACTTGGAAGAAGGGCGACAGAAACAATAACTACTATAACAAAAACAAACAAAAAGGATATACTGTTCTAAACAGTAATAAGTAATACGCATCGCATCAGTGGAGAAAACTTATATGAGTAGAAAGAGGTAGGAGGAGGAGGGCTATAAAAAGCACCCCTAAACAATGAGAGACATACCTGTGATTAAATGTCAGTCCAAATTCATAGAAAACTAATGACAGTAATGACAGTAAGTAAATAGTGTAACTGTAGTGCTTTCTGTGAAGCACCACAAGGCTTGACAAAGCAGTAGATCTGTTAGTAAATGGCAGAGAAAAAGAGAGCCTTTTTATTTTATGCTTTTTCCAAAAATCAAATTTTAGGCTTAAAACTTTTAAATATGACTTACTGTGTACGCTTTGCTCTTACTGCTCAAAACTTTTGATATTCCAAAATCTCCTATCTTGACAATTTCCTTCTTTTTGTCCAGCAGTATATTTTGGGTTTTAAGATCACGATGCAAAATTTGCTTAGAGTGGACATGTTGTAATGAGAGGAGCATCTGTGCCAGAAACTTCAGGATATCCTGTGAAAAAAAAGTGAGATTGTCAACCCTGAGAAATAGAAGTCCTAGGCTGTTCATAGTAAACTTAAACTGGTTGACACAGAGAAGGAATAAATATGCCTATTCCTCAACTCACGTGGATATAAATTTATGCACATCATGTTCAAATTTTATGATATCAGTGAAAGGATGTGTTTTGAGTCCAATTAAAATGTAAATGAATTTTCCAAGCTGATTTCATGAATCTAAGCACAACAATTGTCACATCTTGAACAAGTCTTTATCTTTATATAAGTAGGAAAGTGGGTAAAAACTTTTTGAAAAAAAAAGAGGAGGAGGACTTTTAATGAGACAAGAAACCCTTTAAGAACCTTTTTTCTGGTTTGAAGAACACACAAGAGTAACATACCTCTTCTTCCAAAAGACAGCCATTTCTGCTCTGTAAAAAGTCGAGTAGAGTGCCCCCTACAAACAATGAAAAATTACAGAGTATACACACAGTCTTCCTGACAATATAAGAAGTTACCATACATATTATATTGAAAAAATGCAACTGCAAAGAGTTTGTATTTTAGCAATGCACAGGATGCGGTTTGAGGCTCTGATAGCCAACAACATTGTTAAGATATTACACTGTGAATTCCTGCTAAAAATTCATAACCGTATATATATATATATACACATATATATATGTGAAGCACCTTGGTGAAAACAGGCGACAACAGAGAGAGAGAGAGAGAGAAACAAGAGTACGACAAGGACACACACACACACACACACACACACACACAAACACACACACACACACGCACACACAGTGAGATGTGAAGACAGATAGGTAGACAGACAGACATACAGACAGACAGACAGACAAGCAAATTGACAGATGGAAGTAATCTAATAACACGAAGGCTGGAAAAAGATAATCTAGAAAATAATACACACACACTCACACACACACACACACACGCACATACACACACACTCTCTCTCACACACACACACACATTCACACACACAC